CAAGCACTCCTAGCTGTTGAGCCAGGCATCCAGCCCTGGCTATGATTGTTTTATTACTCTTTGTGTGGGGCTGTAGGACTATATGTGGAGAGCAGAGGTCAACTTTGAGGTGTTGGTCTTGGCCCATAAACTTTCATTTTCACCTCATAGTGCAAAACTCATTCATGCTGGGAAATGTTAGTTTTAGTCCCTCTGTTGTTGAAAAGTCTGAAGTCCAAAGCCTCTTAATGGACTCAACTATGAGACGAAATCAAATCAAATAAAACAACCAAGCTACACATTTCCAGTATTACACATTTCCAGCATCTAGCAGGATGGAATAAATGTCCTAGTCATAGGGAAGGGATACAGAAAAATAACTAGCACAAAGCAAGTCTAACACCAGCAGGGGAAACAAACAAACAAAGGAACAAACAAAACCAACCCAACAAAACATCCACCACTCCATGTCCAGCATCTGGGGCTACAGATGGAATCATTTCTGCTCCAGCAGTTCTTCAGCAGCCTTGTCCCTTCAGCTCTGCTGCTAACAGCATTCTTTCATGAACCAAATCCACTCTGTGCTTAAAGCTCTTTGATGTGTCCTAGTTCAGAGACTCCATAGCACCTTAGCTTTCACATCTCCAGTATTATAGACAAGCCTTTCAAGGTCTCATTGCATGATCCACACATTGCCTGGCCTCAGTCACTCACACTCTCACCTTTCATGCTCGAAGAACCAGTGCCACTAGATGCTGCTGCTGGAGCCTGGCTCCCTTGGATCATAGCTCCAACAGCCTCTGTGTGTCTTTAGAGTTGATCCTGGGACAACAGCTCTCTAGGTAACCATTTTACAACAGTCACGACAGAGGTGGTGGGTCAAACATGAGAAAACTGAGAGGTAAGAAAGATTGGCATGCATGATGTGAGACTCCCAAATAACAAAAACATCATGTTTATAAACAAACAAACAAACAAAAACAAAATGGCAAACCAGTTCTTAAAATGGCTGTCTTCTAGCTCAGTTCCCAAGAAAATTCGATTTCCCTTTAAGTCCATGTGAACTCTGTCTTCATGGTCACAGTTTCTCTCAGCATTGGGTGCTCTGGACACTAGTCAGAATGTCTCATTCAGATCTGCTTACAGTAATCTAGACTCTTTTACCACAGAATTCCAAACACTCCCGCGTTCTTTTAGTAAATCTGCCAAGTTCCTCCTAATCGCATGGCCAGGTTATCACACCAATGACCTCACCCCTTATACAAACGTTCTGAATGGGACACTGGCCCAATAGAGCATGTGGTCTGGCAGGCCTTGCCCTTCACTCCCATTCCCTCTTGCCTTGCTAAAAACAGATTACATTCTTAAAGCTAGCCATCAAGTCTATTCCCTTATTTACCAACATCTTCCTCCTGAGGCTGACCACCAAGGTCCAGCAATCAGAAGCCCACTTTGGGTCACCTAATTAACATGTCCAATTAAAATTAGACACCTCATTCTAACATGAGATTTTTTTCCTTTACCTTTATAAACTGCCATTTGCCTATTTGCCAAGTCTGTCTCCCCTCTCTCCAGAGGCAGCCCTTTGTCCCTTCAGGACAAATATCCCTGCCCCTTTCCCTTGTCCCCTTCTCCTTCTCCCTCAACCTCTGTCTCTTTACCACACATCCTAGCCCTTTCTAGCACAGACCTCCCTTTTTCTCTTAAGAATGACCCTGCAGGGTTTTTAAAGTTGATGTTTCCTGCGAGTCAGAGAGCAGCTGCTTTTGCTTTCACTTTGCTTCCCAGCTTAATAAAGGATCTCTTTGCGAAAACAGGCATTTGGTGTGGTTTGTGCCTAGTCTGGAGTCCCAGAGGAAGCTTTTGCTGTGTGTGGGTCCCCTTCATGCATTAGTTACCAATCCCTTCTCAGTGATAGTTGGAAAAAGTAAGCTAGGAAAGGATTCCTTTGGCTCAAGGTGAAAGATTCAGTCCATCATGGTGGGAAAGTCATGATGGCAAGAGCATGAGGCAGCTGGTCATGTGATATCTTAAATCAGGAAGCAAAGAGATTGTGTGTGGTTTTCAGTTCATTTCCTTTGTTTTGCTTTATATTGCTTTGGCTGTCCTGGAACTTGCTCTGTAGACCAGGCTGGCCTTGAACTCACAGAGATCTGCTTGCCTCTGCCTCCTCATTTTGTACCCAAATTCTGAACCTCAAAATCACCAAGAAACCCATTCTGATGCAAAAGCAAAGAGTATTTTATTGTTTAATGAGTTAACTGTGTTAACTTGGGCCCTTTATCCATTTAATCATGTCAGGTAGAATGAGAAGGACATGGAGAAACTGCAAGGTGGGGAATTTATTGGGGTGTGTAAGGGGAGTATTTAGGTAGGACCTCCCAGGACAGCTGCTATACTCTGCATGTCACTGTTTTTCTGTTTTTCCACTTTACCGTAAAGCATATCCAAGAGTTGACCAGCTAACTTCTGATTGGTTCCTTGTCATGTGGAGGGTATCTGGCCTCCTAGTGACTAGGGCAGGTCCTGCAAAGGAAGGAAACTAAGCAACACGTGCTGAGTCAGAGGCCTATGTCTTGCTGGGTCTTTTCTGCAGCCTGTCATAGAGGCCAAAACAGGGGCCTGGGTGAGGGTCTGGTCCCTTCACCGAGTGACGGGGCTAAAGGCATGTGCCACCAATGCCCAGTTCTCATTTCTCTCACAGTCCTGGTGGTGAAGTTGCCCACATTCAGGGTGGGTCTTTCATCCTGTCTGAAAGACTCTCATGGGCACCCCCAGAAGTCTGCTTCCATGGTGATGCTAGATCCAGTCAAGATGACAGTGTTGGTTAACCATTAGGACATTATATCAGTGTCTATGTAATTTATCTGAAGATTGAGCTATGCTATATGTCATGCATTTATCTTATCATATGTAGCCCAGGTTGGCCTTGGTTCATATTGCTCTTGCCTGATTATAGGTGTAATCCTTGTTTAATTTTAGCTTGGCAGGTTTATTTTTAGAAACTGGCACCTGTAATTATGGGTGGGGAAGGCCAAAGTCTGTGTGGTCCCAGACACCTGGTGGGATTTCAGACAGAAGCTAAAGCTGTGTTTGCAGAGCAGACTTCCTCCTGTCAGTGCAAACCAGTGTTTGTTCTCTGGCCGGTATCAGGCCAAGGGTTCACAATGTCATATCCTGAGGAGTCTGTCAGTTCATTGTGCTCTCAACTGCAGCAGTCATCTGAGTCCCTGTGCTCCTGAAAGAGAGGCACAGTAGAAGAGAAAGCAGTTAAGACTTTAATCAGAGCAAGGAAGGAACAAGAATATACTCTCTGAAAAGGAGCCATCCAGGTCTAGAAATATAGCTCAGTGGTTAAGAGCACCGACTATCGTTCCAGGGCCAGGTTCAATTCCCAGCACCCACATGGTAACTCAAGACTTTCTGTAATTCTAGTCCCCAGGGGTCCTGACACCCTTTTCTATGGAAATCTTCTGGAATCAGGCATACATGTGGTACATAGACATATATGCAGATGGAACACCCCTACACACAATTCAAATAAGTAAAATAAAAGGCTAGGTCAAGCCGACCAGCCATGGCCTCAGCCCTGACAAGTGTGGGCCTTATACTGCTGTGGTCCAGTGTGGACTCTGCTGTGTAATTGTAAGAATTTGCATGTGCTTTTCAGTGAAGTTGAAAAGTTCACTAGCGAAAAAGGGAGAGAACACTGAGAAAATCCCCTGGGGAGGAAGGAAGTCATGAAGTTGTTTTATTCTGATCTCCCTATTGTTAGTATCCAGGAATCTGTGCTGGCCTGCCCTTGAGGTTCTGACATGACACGCCCTCAGCTGCAGCTGCAGCCACTAAGAGCATCACCTGTACATATCCACTATATCCCCTTTTAAAAGGGCCCTGCCCCCCTTGCTTCTCTGCCTGTCTCTTCTGCTGCTCCTGCCCCAGAGGTTGGTCTCCCCTCTCCCCTTCCCCTATTTCCCATTCATTCCCCCCATAAACCCCCCCCTGTTATGTGATGTCTTTCTTTCTCATGCCATTTTAAAAATTACTTCATTTATCATGGACCACTAGCCTCCATTGCCTCTTGTTTCTGGTTTTTGGAGCCCTGAGCTGCCCCATCTGGATTTGTCCACTGACCTTGCCATTTGTATCAACTGCTAATCAGCTGTCTGTCCACCCTGTTTCAAGACTTAGGACTTGCTTTTATCTGACAACCTTTGAGTTGGCCTACCCATTGTTCTTTATGTTCTGGCTTTGGGGGGTCTATTGGTCCCTCCTATTTGCCTAACAAATGGGGAGCATGACCATGCATGAGTTCAGTGACTGCTAAGCCTAAGACATGGCAATCTAGGACAGTTTCTGGACAATGTATACAACTGCTAAGGGTGATGCCCCCTTTCACAGAGGGAAGATGATTTACCCCAGGCTTGCTCTTCCTGGCCTGTACCACCTTGGCTCATAGCCTCCTTTAGTCTGACTCCTCATCTCCACACTTCCACTCTAAACTATGATCCTTCAGCTTCAGGTGTGCTTTCCCAGATAGGACTTCCATCCTCTTAGTCTGGCCAAGGCTGGGTTCTTTGCTTTAGTTTAGAATGTTTTTTTCCACTCAGGGACTGGGGTGCTGGAGGACAGGACTTAACTCTACCAGACGCAGCATCTGGTGAGCAGAGGCATTCCAGAGCCAGCCCTGCCTTTCTGCAATGAGAAATACTTCATGCTGCATTCCCACCAATCAGATGTGCAGAGAACTTGGGGGAGATGCTCTGGGACTGTTCTGTCCTGAACTAGGTCTCCCGGCAGCTGAACTGCTTTAATCTGCAGACCATTGGCCTTGGAAGGGCAGGGGTGGCTGTAAATTTGATGGTACAGAGTCACCTTTGGCCTTGACTCAGAAGAGCTGCATCCCAGAGATACCCTGCCTGTGTGTGTCTGTGTCTTGAGTTCTTCCCCTGCACTCCAGGCTAGTTTTGGCTTGCTGCCCAGGCAGGAAGGAAGTGGCTGAGCCTGGGAGGGATTGATTGGTTCAGCTCAGCGGCAGCCCAGCCTCCCACAGCTCTCTGCAGTTAGGAAGCTGGAGATAAATACATTTCACAGGAGGCAAGAGACAGTCTTGCGGGACAGGCTGCCCCTGAAATAAGGTACAGGCCCGGGTGCGAGGCAAGAGAGGGCCCTGAGTCTGATCAGGAAGAACGTTGGGGTGGCTCTCTGGAGCCAGCTGGCATAAGCGACCCTGAGTTCGGGGTGACTGCCTGGGGCCAGTTTCACGTGCTTGATTCAGAGCTATTCCAGACTCCGAGCAGCTCTTGTTTGGGTGCCCCTTCCCCTCCTATTCCTTCTCTCATTTTTATTCTCTCTCCCTGGTTGGCTGTGGATGCCTTCCCCCCCCCCCCCCCCCGCGCGCTCCCAGTGCAGTGTCTGCCCTTGCTCAGGAATCCTGGAGTTTCCCAGTCTGTCTTCTGAGCCACAGAGCCTCTGTGTTTATCAGCTCTGCAGGATGCTGCACACTGACCCGACCTCCCTGTTGGCCTCCCCATGGCATCTTCTGCTGTTTGGAGCAGCTTCCTGGCTTTTGGCTAGAATTCTTGCCTGGACCTACACATTCTGTGAGACCTGCTCCCGGCTCAGATGCTTCCCTCAGACTCCTAGGAGGAACTGGTTTTTAGGTCACCTGGGCATGGTGAGTATGGTAGCAGATAGGATTGGGGGCTCAGGTGGATAAATTCTGTAGGAGTCAGGAAAGTCCATCAAAGAACGGTGCGGGGGTGTGGTCAGAAGTCTGAGCTAGGGATGCAAAGAGAGCCCCTCTCTCCTCTTCACACCAGCACATCCATTTGCCTTCCTGACACATCTGTGTTCAGAGGTTTTTTTTTTTTTTTTTTTTCTTACCTGGTCCCCACCCCTCTGAGGGTCACAGTCTCACCAGGACTGAAGTTCCCTCTCATTCTTGGATGCTTGTCATATTCAGCATCTCCCTCCCATGATGGGCAGCGCAGAGTAAGTAGTGACATCCCTGGTATATTCATTTTTCATTGTTGGATTTGAGGCCTTCCTGCAGTGTGTTCAAGCCCTTGCCCTGCCTGGTCCATCTCTCTTGATTTCAGATCAGTGTCTGTGCCTCTCTGGGTTGCTACTTGCCCTGTAGGAATCAGCTGTGATTTCTCTTTTTAACTTATTTTATTGAACATTATTTTTCATTTATTTTACATACCAATCACAGTTTCCCCTCTCTCTTCTCCTGTTCCCCACCCTCACCCCCTCCCCATCCACTCCTCTGTCTCCATTCACAAAGGGTCAGGCCTCCCATGGGCTTGAACAAAGCATGGCACATCAAGTTGAGGTAGGACCGAGCTCCTCCTCCTGTATAAAGGCTCCTCAAGGTAATCCAGCAGCTGCCATTCTTACCTCCACCTACAGGGGCTTTTTGGGGGTAGAAGAGTGATTATAGTTTCTCTTCCCTCCACTGCCTTGGCCACTCTCCTTTCTCGTCTTGCCCTTTGTCCTGAAGTTGCATTAGTGGGCTCCGTTATACAATTTAGGTAAAGATCGAACACTTTTTTTGCATTGGTGGTGAATATCTGAATCATCTAGTGTTTGTGCATGCTGGGCAACTTCTTTATTCCAGAGCCAAGTCACAGCATCATGGCCACTTTCTCTTGGATCTCAGTCATAATGGTACACTAACTGTTGTGGGGAGTTCCTATTCAGCACCCTCCCATGATCCCCAGGTCCCCTTGCTCCATGCTGCCCTGAAACCCTATTGCAGAACTGCAGGCTGGGTTTCAGTGTCACTCATAATATAGATACCTCTCCAATGCTGTTCGTTCATTTAAGTACTGCTTTCTCTCAACAGAGCCCTCTTTCCTTCCATATTTTCCTTTACCCTCTCTCATCCAACATCCCTTCAGCATCTCCATCCATTGTACATTCTAACTTAGCTCCCTGATATGCAACCTTTCATCTCCACCCTAGCTCAGATTCCCATTAAGAATCAGTCTGAGGTTCTTGACAGATCAGTTTTCCTTTAGACACTTAAAAAAATTGTTGCTGATTGCAAACTCCCATGTTTTCTGTGTGTTATCCACAGTGATGCTCTCCAGTCAGACAAGTCAGATCTCATCCATGTACCACCAATATGGCTCTTTGTGCACTAAACCTCCAGTCTGCTTGCTCTGCCATCTTCTTAGAGACAAAGAATCATCTTCCTGGTCTGCCTCTCTTCTCTGTCACACTTGTGATTTCTAGGTCCCTGAATCCTGGCCCTGTCTCATTCATTTTCTCACAGCTCCCTGGTGTATTGGCTTCTTCATCTTATCCAGAAGCTCCTATTTGGTACTGGTGTCCGTCCCTTAAGCTCCCTGAGGTCCCTCTGTGTCCCCTTCCCTGTGCTTTGCACATGGCTCCTCTGCCACTCTCTCCCATCTTCCCTCTGTCTTTCTTGAAGATGCCGCCTTACCACAGGGTCTAGCTCCTGAGTTAGCTATCAGTTTCGTCCTTAAATGACTTCCAAGTTTACATCTCTCCTGATTGGGGAACCAAAATTTGGGAACCTCTAAGATTCTTTGCTGCAAATCTAGGGAAGTTTTTGCCTAGAGGTGGTGCTAGTGAACTCTGCTGAAGGTAGGGACAAATGAGAGAGGTGGGTGGCATGGAATTAGCTATGGGTTCATTCCTAACTGGAGTAGAGGATTGAAGGAATGAGGTAAGAGGAGAGAGTGATGATTTAGCCTTAGGGAAAAATCCCATAAGAAAAAGGGCCATACACATACACGGAGAAAGGGGAGAGGGAATGATCAGGTGAAGGAAATGGAGAGATTGACAAAGGAAGCAGAATTATAGTAAAGACACAAACACACACATGTACTTGGATCTACCTCTAATCATTTTCTTCTGCTATCAGTTACCTGCCATGTCTCTCAACATCATATACTTATGCTATCTATTGTGTATCTGTCTATATATCTTCTATATAGCTATCAGCAGTCAGTCTGTCTGTCTATCCATCTATATCCTTCAATCCCTCTATCAATTAGTTCATATCCCTACCACCCACTATACAGAGTATGTGTGTATGAATATATCTTTCTGTCTATTCATTTATCTATATCTATATCTACATAATCAATTATCTATATCTAGGTCACAAACGAAGAGATGAGAGTGGTGAATCAGAGGGATGTAAATAGATGCATGGATGCAGGAAGGGACACTCATAGTTGAACTTAGGTTAACTCATCAAGACACACAGATGAATGACCCAAGTAGGAGGGTGAGAGGGGTGCAGCATGGTGGGCAGAGAGTAGGCGTATCTGAGACATCCTGCCTGGGCTGCCTCAATGTTCTCCCTTCCCAGATCCAGAGCAATGAGGAAGGAATGCAGATGGTGACTGAAATGGGCAAGACCTTCCGAGATGTCCAACTCCTTTGGCTGGGACCTGTCATCCCTGTGCTGAGGCTTGTTGACCCTGCATGTGTTGCTCAGCTGCTCCATGCCCCAGGTATCCCTTCTAGAATTCCAACCCTTGGCTTTTTTTCCATCTCTTGTCCAAGCCCTTTCTACCCTGGATTGACCAGGCTGAGCAGCAGACGAGGCTGTTCCCAAAAGTGGTTAACCTGCTGAGTGAATTTGGATAAGGTCCTGAATCTCCTTTGCTGCTGAGATCTGCTTGAGTTGTGAAAGATGGATGCTCAACCCAGTGTGATCCAAGCCGGGAAAGAGAACATATTGACTGAGGATGTACTCAGTGGCAGAACACTTGTCTACCACAGGTTGCAAAGCCATAGGTTGCCTCCTAGAACTGGAAAAAAGAAACTTTCTTTTTGATGAACCTTTTTGCATCTGTATGAATCCATGTGCATGTGTGTGTGCATGCATGTGTGGGACAGTAAGTAACCTAAGTTGCTATTCTCGGGACCTCTACATACTTTTATTGAGACATGATCTCTCATTTTCCTGGAGCTTACCCATTAAGTTAGACTGCTTGGCCAGTAAGCCCCAGGGTCCTCCTGTCTCTAAAAATTATTTATTTTTGAGGCATTTATTTAATTATTTTGAGGCACTGTATAACTCTAGCTGGTCTAGAATTTACTTTGTAGAACAGGATGGACCTTGAACAGATCCATTTGATTCTGTCTCCTGATTGCTTCTATTAAAGGTATGCATGACCACACCAGGCCTTTATTTTTATATAATTATATGAATGTTTGCCTGCATGAATGTGTGTGTAATGCATGTATGCAGCACCTCAGAGGCCAGAAGAGAATGTCAGATCCCTTAGAAGTAGAGTTACAGGTGATGGTGAGCTGCCACGTGGGTGATGAGAACTTAACCCAGGTCTTCTGCAAGCACAGTAAGTGCTCACAACCACTGAGCCGTCTCTCCAGCCCCAGGGATTGAATCTTTAAAATGTGCTTCATTTACAAAGTTTGTGATCTGAGAAGACAGTGAGTTCACAGCCTTAAAAATGACTTTGCATGTCTTTTGCATTTGGCAAAAGCAGACAGACCTTCCAGAGCTCAGTCCCAACCCTCTGGTTATGTGGTCTGAGATCCAATGTTTCTTTCATTATCATATTCTGCATTTTCTCCTCATTATTGATTCTCTGTGCTGCTGGGCGCAAACATTCCTAAAGATGCAGAGTTTGATAAGGCTCTGTGGAGTGGGTCTCTCTCACACTCTTCTTGGTATTCTCCATAGTTATCTCAGATTTGCAAACTTTCAGCAATGAGTCCACCTTGCACTATTTACAATGTGTATATGCAAACTCCTTTCACAACATGGAGTGCACATAGTTCTGTATGGTGCAGAGCAACATTGTGCTTTTTTCTTCCCACTATCCCCAATGAAATCCAACAGCATTCTTCTAAGGTAGATACCTCCTGTGTGAACAGTTGAGGCTGGGAGACACATGCCACATAGTGTGAACTTCCACCTCCTGAGTTCAATGAGTCTTGGCTACTCCAACCACTTTTGGTAGAAGGGACCCCAAGCTGGAGATGGTTTGGGAGAGAGATGGTATGCAGAGCACTGCAGGAAAAGATCCACTGGCATCCAGATGGGACAGCTTGGTCTGGTTGGTCCTGGGAGAGCAGAAGCAACTCTTTACAGTGGGCACATGGCTCTGAGAATAGAGGTGCCATTAAGTCTGCACACTTAGTGCTTAGTGTGGCACAGAGGAGAGAACTAGAGGTGTCTGGGACATATCTAGGTCACTTTTGGGACTCAAAAGGGACCATATTTAATGGCAATCTGAGATTATCTGAAGGGCACAATTAGGTCATGCCAGACTGTTACATACCCGTGTTGTGAAATGTCAGGGAATACCATGTGTGTTGTGTTTATATCAAGTCATGACATCATGTGCCCCTGTCATATATACCAGGATGTGTCAGGCCATGGGAGTCCCCACCCCCTCCCAAAATCCACCTTTTACCCTCTCCATGGCCCCTGATTGTCCTTCTTCATGGCAGCTTTGGTGGCCCCCAAGGACATGACTTTCTTAGGCTTCCTGAAGCCCTGGCTGGGTGAGTACCTCAAGGTGAGGGTCAGGGGATACCTTGGGGGGAATCAGAGGAAGGTTCCACCTTTGCCCACTGCCATGGCTGCCCTCCCAGGGGATGGGCTGTTCCTGAGTTCGGGTGACAAGTGGAGCCGCCATCGTCGTCTGCTGACACCAGCCTTCCACTTTGACATCCTGAAGCCCTATGTGAAGATTTTTAACAAGAGTGTGAACATCATGCATGTGAGTTCCTCAGACTCGGGCTCCCATGTAGAACATTGCAGAAAAGGGAGTGACTTCAGACAGATGCAATCTGCTCCCGTTTTTTTACTGCATGGTTTTGGGGGGGGGCATCAGTTTTCCTCTCCAAGCCTCAGTTTCTCCATCTTTAAAATGAGAGCAATAATGTGCACATAAAAGGAAATCAGGATGACAGCACAGAGTCATGCTCTTAGCATGTAGTTGGGGCTCCCAGCACACCAGGATACTCTCCTTTGCAGAAGCCCTGAGGAGTCAATTATCAGGTTAATGTTGACTATGGATGTAGCTCTTTCTGTGTAGAATACTAGTTTAAACTGCATTGCCCCTAAGCAGGCCATGGTGATGCACTCCTCACTCCCAGCCCAGGGAGACTGAGGAAGAAAGATTGGGAACTACAGGCCAGTCTAAGTTACTTTAACAAGACCTTGTCTCAAAAAATCCAGGTCCTTCTGGGAGAAGTTGGTTGGGCGAGGGTGGGGAGGTGATTTTGCTTAAAACTCGTCTGAAAATGTAACTAAAAGTTTTGGGTAGAGCTGAGCTCTCTCTGGGTTTTCAAGCATGGAAAATGCTGGTTCCAAAAGGGAGAAAGCAGAAACTTTACATGGATACATTGTAAAGGTTGAGAATTGAGGACTTCCAGAAAATCCGGGCCATTTCTGTAGCCAACTACAGTTATGTTAAGCGAGGATGACACCCACAGCTAACAATTATTGAGCACCTTCTGCATATGAAATATTGTGCCAGTTCTATGGTTTATGTTGAGTGATGTCATTTCCATAGTGCCATGAGACAGAGGTGAGTGTGACCATTGTACTGTGCATGATGAAACCAGTGGTCAGAGAGGTTGGTATTCTCCACGTTCACCAACAGTAAGAGAGCATGAATTGTAGAGCAAGTCATAAAGTATAGTTTACTGGGTAACAAATCCTGTCAACTTAATTGTGGCTGAAGACTTGACAAACAGGACCTAGGAGAAGACATCAAGCGGACCAAGAGTGCACAGGAGGTAGGATTAGACTGAGGTGACCTAAGGCCTGTAATAGTACTGTCCTCTGTTCCCACCAGTCAGCTTTTCTCTGGAGTCAGGCGCCTAGCCTAGTGCTAGTCTAGGGTTGGGAAGGGGTTCAGGGATCAAATGCTCAGCCCCATGTCTGTCTCCTTCTCTGGTCAGAACAAGTGGAAGCATCTGGCCTCAGAAGGCAGTGCACGTCTGGAAATGTTTGAGAACATCAGCCTCATGACCTTGGACAGTCTGCAGAAATGCCTCTTTGGCTTTGACAGTGACTGTCAAGAGTGAGTTCCTGCCCCAACCTTGGAACATGGGCCATTTACCAAGGAAGTAGGCTGCGGTTGAGGACTTTAGAGGGCATGGAGGACACGTTATAGGAATTAGGTAAAAGTGTCAGCAAAGGATGGGAACAGAAGAGAATGAGTATCCTTTCAGGGAGGTGGACAGGCCAGGAAGTGTGGGCAGGCAGCAGGTGAAAGAGGCAGTTCAGAAGGAGGCATCTTCCACAGACATTGAAGGGTGTCTTACAGTTTTGTGGTAAGACATGTCAAATAAAACAAGCTAAGAAGGAAAGATTTAGTTTGCCACTGATTTAAGTCCATCATGGTGGGGAAATGGTGGGTTCCCACCACAGTGGCAGAGAAATACAGGGAGAATGTGTCTGGGCCAGCAAGCTTCCTCCTTCCCTTCTCATTCATGTGACTACATCCAGAGGGAAGAAGCTGTCCATACTCAGTGCAGGGTTTACATGCTCAGTTAATTCTATATGGAGACAAAATACCATTTCTGACATACACAGAAATACTCTCTATTAATCTTTGGTGCTTCTCAGTGTAATATCGATTTTCCAAGTTAACCATTACAGAACATTAATAGCCCACACATTTTTTTCTTTTCTCCTTCCCTTCCATCCTCTCTTTTTTCTTGACCTCATCTCAGTCTGTATCTAGTCTGGACTGGAATTCACTAAGTAGATTAGACTGACCTTGAGCTCTGATCTTCCTGCATCCACTTCCTGTGTGCTGGGATCATAGCCAGGAGCCAGCATTTCCAGCTAGTGGCCAGATCTTAAAGATGTTGCCTAGCCAGAAGGGTGCGAACTCCATCTTGAGTTTCCCAGGTCATAAGAAAAGGTGTATGGGGGTGGAATAGAGTGGGTTGGTCGTAGGCACAGTGAGCTTGGGCAATCTAATAGAGGAGCTTCACTAGAGATACAGGGTACAAGGAACTGAGTGAGGAGGGTCTGAGCCTGGGCAGAGTTCTAAGAAACCAAGGATGAAGAGCAGGAGTGGATGCTGAGTGAATGAGAAGAGGAATATGCCCTGGATTCCTGGGTCAGAAACTACTTGTGGGGACCAAGAAACAGAGTCTGATCCTGGGACTCTGGTTGGAGCTTCTCTGGAGCTTTGTGTGTGCTAAGTTGCTTCCTCTCTCTGGCCTGCCCTACAGCTCTCCCAGTGAATACATTGCTGCCATCTTGGAGCTCAGCTCTCTCATAGTAAAACGGTCCCAGAAGCTCTTCCTGTTTATGGACTTCCTGTACTATCTCACTGCTGATGGGCGGCGCTTCCGCAAGGCCTGCGACCTGGTGCATGACTTCACAGATGCTGTCATCAGAGAGAGACGCCGCACCCTCTCTAACCAAAGTGTTGATGAGTTCCTGAAGTCCAAGGCTAAGTCCAAGACTTTGGACTTCATTGATGTGCTTTTGTTGGCCAAGGTGGGCTTATGTGAATGATCAGTGTATAGATTGAAGAGGTTGAACTTGGCCAGGGGGTACTGGGAGTTACAAATGGTGCTTATGAAACCAGGCACAGGGCAGAAATCCATTTTAGAGGTTACTCTTTTGAAGGCTGTGTTAAAAGACCAAAAAGTAGGCATGCCACCCAGGAAGAAATGGAGGCAGGCTCTGGAAAGACAGAGCAGGCATCTTGTGTGCAGCACAGTGAGTATCAGAATCTGTTTCATACTGCTTCAGACATGGCCAGCATTGAGGGTCTTAATTTGTCTTCAGGATGAACATGGAAAGGAGCTGTCAGATGAGGACATCCGGGCAGAGGCTGACACCTTCATGTTTGGAGGTGAGGGTCCCTATGTGAGACTCCAGAGGAGATAGAGAGAGGCCTGTCAGTCCCATGTAGGAATTGTGGGGAACCTAGAATCCTTCTATTCTTTCCATCCATCCCTTCCCCATCATTCTCTAGGGGCGTCACTCTCTGGGTACTCTACCCTATTGTCCTGAAACAGGTCAGAGATCCAAGCTTACCTGTCTACCCACCCTTCAGGCCATGACACCACAGCCAGTGGGCTCTCCTGGACCCTGTACAACCTGGCGAGGCATCCAGAATACCAGGAGCGCTGCCGGCAGGAGGTGCGGGAGCTGCTGAGGGACCGGGAGCCTGAGGAGATTGAATGGTGAGCTCAGGTCCTTGTAGTTTCTGTTGCTGTTATTATTGTTATTGGTTACCATCTTGGGTACTACTGAGATTTGATAGGGTCTGTCTATGCTGCCAAGGCTGACTTACAGTATCCCAACACCTTTATTGTTTTTCTTGACTCTCTTCTTCCCATCTCGTGAATTTCCTTTGTCTGTTGTACCATTCTTCTATTTGTAGTTCCTGGATACCTCTTTTTCAATCCTTGTGAAACCCCATGCTGTATCTTGGTCTACTTTTCAGTACCATTTGGTTCATTGAAAATACCAAGAAAAAAAAAAAAAAAAAAAAAAGGAAGGAAGAAAGGGGGAAAAAATTTGCGATATTCTCACCATGAAGAAATGACAAGTCTTTGGGACAATAAACGTGCTTATTAACTTAGAGTTTGAGTGTTCCTGATGTATTGAGACACTCTACACTGTATCTGGAGGGGCCAAGACTTTTGTTTTATTTTTTATATAGGGCTACACTGTGTAACCCTGGCTGGCCTGGAATTCACTGTGTGGATCAGGCTGTTCTCAAACTCATAGAGATTTGTCTGCCTGTCTCCCAAGTGCTAGATTTAAAGGTGTGTGACTTCATGATGGACAACCATTTTATTTATTTATTTATAACACTGCTTGCTGAAGTAATGACAGTCCCCAGCTTCCTCTGTAGCTGAGACTGACTTTGACCTTTGGTCCTCTTGACTCCTCTTCTCCAGTCCTGGGATTCTTTGCCTGGCTGCATTTAATTCTTTAGGTTTCCTTATTGCTAGTTTTCTTAACATCTTTCTCCAAACCACCTACCCATTTCCCACAATTATGAGGACTGTCTTCTTGTACCCATCTCAGCTCTATAGTCTACAGGTTGACTGGTAGGTTGGCTCCATCTTTCATTTTTAAATTGACTTGCTTCTGCATGAATTTTTTAGTTCTTCTAACTGGAATAAAGTTGTTGCGTGGGGATGCAGTTAGTGGTGGACACTTGCCTATCATGCAAGCCTCTGAAATCCAGTCCTGGGGAAGGAATTTCAGGTTCTAAAATACAAAATCTTCCCCTACCCCCATGCTCATGCAAATCAACTTTAACTTCATCAGGTCATAAAAAGAAAAGACATTGAAGTAGAAGGGGGATTGGTTAGGAGGACAAAGGGCATTCAGCAGGAGAGGGAGGGGGACGAGAGAATACTGGAGTGAGTATTATCAATATACATTATATACATGTCTGAAAATTTAAAAATGCATTTTCAGTATTAGTATTGGATAATACTGAAAATTAATATAGAAAGGGCTAGCTGGGTGGTGGTGGCTGCATATGACTTTAATCCCAGCAGATGGGAGGCAGAGGCAGGCAGATCTGTGAGTTCAAGCCTAATCTGGTCTATAGAACAACTTCCAAAACATTCAGGGCTACACCTAGAAACCCTGTCTCAAAATACTAAGACAGATAGATAGATGGAGCACAAAGAACTGACTCCTTTATAGTAGTGGGTCATTTCTCCCATCACCACTCTCCTAGGGAGTGCATATATTCATTTAAATAACCATATAGACCATTAAAGATCTTTATTTCTGCTCTTTTATTTCATTATGTAATTTATTTCTGATGCAAGGGCTCCTATAGCATAGGTTGTCCAATTATTTATTCCTGGTTTTCTGCCCTCCATTTTCTTGAGTATCACCATATCCAGGTCTTTATATAAAAAATTTAAAGCTTTTGCATTGCAGATTTATCAAATGTTTAAGGGTCAATTTGGAAGGGCATGCTTTCATTAGAAATGTTTCATTAGAAATGTTTTTCTGGTGTTTTTGTGATGAGGAGGGGGTGTTAATCTTTGACCCAGAGCCATGGTCAAAGATCTTAGTTGACCCATGTGACCTTGAAACTTGGGGAGTGGCATGGGAGATATCAGGAGTTCAATATTCTTAGTAGCTAGAGACAAAGCAAACTTCTTTGATTCATCTGGAATACAATTTTTGACAGCATTAAGGATGAGAGGGAAGTGGTTAGAATCCAAGCGAGTTCCAGTGAGGCTGAGCAAGGCTCTGTTTTGGCCTGTTCCTCAGGGACGACCTGGCCCAGCTGCCCTTCCTCACCATGTGCATCAAGGAGAGTCTGCGGCTGCATCCTCCGGTCACAGACCTTCTTCGCCGCTGCACCCAGGACATTGTGCTACCTGACGGCAGGGTCATCCCCAAAGGTGCCTGGAGTCATGGGTGAGGGGAGGTGCAGGGGGGGAGGCCCCTCACTAGGGTGATGGTCCCTAGGGACAACTCAGACCTGATACTGACTGGATGTTCCTGCCCAACAGGGAACATCTGTATCATCAGCGTCTTTGGTATCCATCACAATCCTTCAGTCTGGCCAGACCCTGAGGTGGGGGATCCTCCAGGCATTTCTGGAACCTGGGGAGGGGTTCGGCTTTCACCTGAAAACAAGAAACTGTCACTCCTCTCTCCATGTCTGCCTTTTCTGAGGCTGGCTGGCTGTGTTCAGAAACACAACGCAGAAGCCTAATCTTGTCTCTCCCCCAGGTCTATGATCCCTTCCGCTTTGATCTAGAAAACCCTCAGAAGAGGTCACCTCTGGCTTTTATTCCCTTCTCCGCAGGGCCCAGGTGAGGCCAGATAGTTTATGGTGATGGGCTGGGGTCTGGGGCTGTCAGTGAGAATGATGAGGAGTTGGGGTGATTAGGGTTCTGGGTCTCCTTCCCACCCTCAGCTCAGGGTTTGTACAAAAGTTCGCAGAGTCTGGGGATGGAAGGTGAAGGGCAGACCAGGCACGCGTCAGGTTGGGTCTGAAGGTGCCTGGCTGGGTCCGGGTATAGTCAGAGTCCCCACCCGCCCTTCCGCAGGAACTGCATAGGACAGACTTTCGCCATGACTGAGGTGAAGGTGGTGCTGGCCCTGACACTGCTGCGTTTCCGTCTCCTGCCAGACCACAAGGAGCCGCGCAGGCAGCCGGAGCTGATCCTGCGCGCGGAGGGCGGGCTGTGGCTGCGGGTGGAGCCGCTGACTTCCGGAGCTCAGTGACCCCCAAACCTGGCCTGGGCCCTCCTCACCCAGAATAAACCGAGCCCCATTGTGCGCCATCACGGGGCACCGGAGGACAACAGAACCAGCAGTGGTCTGGGAGGGTAGAGGGCGCTGCTGTTTTTGAGCCAAAGGATCTTACTCTTTGCTGATTAGCCGTGCAAAATTTCCATGCTGATTCCAGTTTCCCAGCTCAGATTTGGACTTCATCCTGTAAGAGCCACTGTAGTTTTTTGAGCAGAGTAGGAGAGGGAGCAGAGTTTAGCCCGCTTAGATTCCTAGGCACTGAGCAAAGCCTTAATCGCACTGTTTCCGTTTTCTTCTACTTCCCCCTCCTCTTCTGTTTCATCATATTTAAAACGATAGTTCATGGGTTTTTTTTTTTTTTTTTTGGTCTTCTTAGTGCTGCACTTACAGGAGTGGGCTGCTACGCCACACCTGGAGGAATATTTGTAAATTCTGAGTAAAATGGTTTCTCAGAAAAGGGAAATACTGGTGCCCTTGAGAAGCCCGTTGAATGATATTCCGGGCTTGTGATGCCCAAGATGACTAAGACAGCTTAAAATGAACGAAATCACACGTCCAGGATCTCTCTTTTTACTTTTGTCCTGCCTGGGTGATGTTCACTGACTTCACAAGAATCTTATAATTTTCCTTTCTTGCAGGATTTGGGCGTTCATTTCTCCCCTCTCCCCCCCCATCGTGAGACCATTAAAACTGTCAGGTGGGCATCGTGACACATACCCGAAATCCCAGTACTTGGGAGGGTGAGGCAGAGGAACATGAGTTAGAGACTATCTTGGAATACATTGAAAGTTTGAGACAAGCCTGGATAACTTGATAAAACTGTGTCTCCAGAAATAAAAATTAAACCAATTAAGGTTTTGAGTTTCACCATTTTCCTGACTTGAGAAATAGATGTAGGGGTTCAAGGCTCAGTAGGAGGCAGGTGAGGGGAGACCAGGCTGGGGCCAGTGAGGCCAGGAGCCAGATGTGGGATCTGGGGTCAGTACAGGTACAGGGGTGGGTGCTACAACTGGGGCAGGGCTTACCCCTGGAAGAGTGTAGACAGAAGTGCAGATAGGCTGCTGGCCCAGGAGGTTGTTACACATTCAGATGGCAATCCACCCAGCCATCACTGGCCTCATGCTGGCCCTCTCAGCAAGGACAACTTGCCTGTCTGCTCTATTGCTCCTAAACAGGCAGACAAGGAGGACTTCACCACTGGGTACCTGGCCACCCCCAAGAACCCACAGATGTCACCTGTGTCCAGAGAACCAGGCTAAGCAGAGGCTGGGTTCCCTTGATGGCCTGTCGGGCAGAAGCCACAGCATGGCCACTTGTGGCAGGGCTTCTGGGAGCTATGGAAAAAGCTCTGGCTTCAGCTATCAGACACATGGTTGTGAGCTGGGGAGACTTGTCTCTGTCCTAGGATGGTCCATTCTGCTGATGGCCTGGCCAGCCTGGCTATTTTTAAGTCTGTATGGACCTGGAGTTTTGTTTTTTGTTTGTTTCTTTTTTATTAATTCGTTTTTTACATTCCAATTCCAGTTCCTCCTTCCTCTCCCTCCCCCCCCCTCCCGCCACCTCCCATCTGCTCCTCAGAGAGGGTCAGGCCTTGCTTAGGAAGTCTACTAAGTCTGTGTATGGGCCTGAGTTTACTTCTTACTTTTGGCAGGTAAATCCAAGCTCCCTGGAGCACTGAGTGGTTAATCTCTTGTTGATTTTTCTTATTCAAAGTGTTATTTTTCAGGCTATATGCAACAGTGGATTGTATAAGCCCTTTCTTAAAACCTGAGAGGTGTTGGCGGAGGTCCTTAGCTTTATTTCTTATTTCAAAAGTGTGTTGGTGTGTTTTCTTCTCCTTTTTTTAATGGGGAGGGGCGAGGAAAAAAGGAAAACCTATGCACTTGACCCAATGTATTTTGAGCTTGTCTCCTGGCAGGCTATTCTTGAAGGGTGATGGTTGCTGCTCTTCAGGCATCAGAATCTCTGGTCACACTGTGTCCTCCTTGTGGCCCAAACCAGCTCAGTGCCATGTTTGCAAGGCCAGTTGCAAGCTGTTCGCGGTGGGCATTGGTGATCTTTGCATTGTCTGCTCACCCATTATCCTTCTGAGAGTTCAGCAGACCTCTCTGAATTGGAAGATGGTGGCTCTGGCATGTTCTGCTGGGTGTGGGGGTGGTGGTGCAGGGGTTGTACAGATTAAGATACACGGGACGAGGATAAAATATGGGTTATATATTTTATTCTGGGAGAAGTCATTTACACGAGAAACCAATGACCCGAAAGTTCCTGCTCCAAGGATCCACACCCAGGCTGCTCTCCGTGACCTGACTGGAACCAAAAGAGCAAGCCTGTTTTGGACCCCAGACCAATACCACATGCTCACCTACTCACCTGTGACCACAGGTGTGGCTGGGTGGATTTCTCACTGCAGAATACCAAGCAGTAGCATTAGCCATCTGGGATGGGCACCTAGGAGGGCTGGACCTTGGGTGCTTTTAGAAACTTACCTACCCTTTCTATCATGATTTCTGTCTCTGGGAGTGGAGGTCCCATAGTGCCTGAGTAAAGCTTCTGTGGTGGGGTACAGCTTTCATTCCCTGTCCCTTTCCTCACCTCCACTCCCTTGTCCTGATGTACACACGCCCTGGTCTATGTTGCTCATGCTTTCTACCTGCAGGCAACTGAAGAGCCAGGGCAGGTGGGGCAAGGATGGGCCAGTGGAGGGAGTGTGAGACTCTGTCTGTCACCCTTGTACCTGCAGCATAAAGCCTCGGGTGCCATAATGCTCCTCTTTATTCCTTCTCAGGTTTCAGCTGCCAGCAGGCACCACTAGGCCTGGAATGGGAAAGGGGAATGCTTGGGCCCTGATGGAGCCATCATTGGAGGTGGACAGTGAATGAGGCCATGGAAATTGTGCCCCATATCTTACCTCACAGGGGTGGTTTGGTTTCCAGGGATTCTCTAGAATAGCAGAATAAAACCTTACCATTGTTGAGACAAAACAACAACAAAAAACCAACCAACCAAAAAAAAAAACAACAACAACAACAACAACAACAACAACAACAACAAAAAAAAACAAACTAACAAAAAAACTACATACATTTTCTCTCTTATAAAAAAAATCAGAAAGACATATCTCAATATAATTAAGCATATACCAGAAGGAAGCCAGTTTTGCTTTATGGTTTTATGAGGGAACATTTGTGATTCTACGCACATGCACGCACACATGTGTGCACATCCAAAGCTACCAATTGGAATTTGTTTATATTGTAAATACATATTATTCTTTGTTTAAAAAAAGAAAAGGATTCAGAGGAAGAGTGCAATCCATATTTTGACAAGATTTGCTTGTCTGATGCTTGTGTGTGCATGTGTCTGGAAGTTAGAGGATGACTTGAAAGATCTCTGTGGGTTCTGGGGATCAGACTCTGGTCATCAGACTTTGCAGCAGGTACTCTTATTGCTGAGACATATCCCCAGCCGCTCATGTTCAACTTACCTCTAGATTCCTGTTCTCTTTTACAATATTTTTGTAATCTTGTTTCTTGGGGTTGGAATGCAGAACCTTGCAGAATCTAAGGAAGTGCTTCCTTCCCCACTGAGCCACTCCCTCAGGTGACTCTAATTTCTTACTGTCTTTCATGTCATTTATTCACTGAAAGATGGGAAAATCATTCAGGTTTCATGATGGCAACTATTTAACCTAAATGACTTAGCTTAACGCTGTCTGAAGCATCAGGTGTCACATATGAGTTTAAACAAGAAATTTAAGGATCATTTTTACTTTGTGTGTATGGGTGTTGCATGCATGCCTAGACATCACCTGTGTGCCTGTGGAGGTCAGAAGAGGATACTTGGATCTATAGATGCTTAGTCACCATGTAGGTGCTGTGAACAAAACCCAGTTCCTCTGCAAAGAGTCAAAAGTGCTTTTACCCACTGTACCTCTCTCCAGCCCTTTGTATGAGATTTTCAGTGGGCAGAAGAGCCAGTGAAGACTCCACCCTTGAATGTGTTCAGGGTGATAATGACCATTGACTTTAGTTTCCAGACTACAGTTGATGGCATCAGAGCCAGAGGGGAATATCGCACACCACCCATAGGTCTTAGACTTGGAACATTTTGGTTTGACATCCTTGGAAATACTGTGAACATTTCTTTGTCTGGGTGGGAAGATACACAGTGGCTATTTTGGTAAACACTGGGGTGGACTATTTCAGTTACTTTGTGTGGATTTTTTAAAAATCAGTATACTTACCATAGTTCCCCCCCCAAATAGTATGTTTTGAAAGAGACAATGGGAATCCCCCAAGTGTATTTTTTTCCTCTTTCTTTGTTTCTTTGTTTCTTTGCTTCTTTTGTTCCTTCATCTTCCTCCTTGTCTTCCTCCTCTCCATTCTGTTCCTCCTTCTGCTTTCTAGATAGGGTTTCTCTGTAGCCCTGGCTGTCCTGGAACTTGGTCTGTATACCAGGCTGGCCTCAGACTCTCAGAGATCTGCCTGCTTCTACCTCTGATGTACTGGAATTAAAGTTGTGTGCCACAACCACCTGGCTAACTATATTTTTGATTTTTATTATCTCTGGCTTTTTATGCTGTTTGTGTTTTCATATAGGTTTCCATGTGTCTGTTTCTGTGATGAGTTCTGGGATTTTTACCAAAACTTCTTTAAATTGAAACGTGATTTGAGGAGAATCAAACATTAATGAGACATCTGTCCATAAATATTGTATACTTTTTTTTATTTATTTGGATCCTCTCAGATTTTTTCAATAGTATCTTGAAGTTTTCATCATAGATGTGTGGTGTAAGCAGGTGCATTAAGAAACCACTGAACACTGCAACTCTCTGTAAGGAGAAAGAACAGTTTAATGATAATAATAATAATTAAAAAATGCCAGGCTGCTTTGGAGAGTGGATGACATAACCTAGTTGCAAAAGCTTGTTGAGTTTCATATGGGTATCTCACAGGGGGAGGCTGCTCAGGAGTTGGGACAGCCAGGTGGTTAGCTTGGGGACTGTTTCAGGCAAAGACGGTATGACAGCTGCGGTCAGGTACATTCAGGCAGCCACTAAGGGTTTCTGTTGCTAACACCCTCCCCCCTCAGCTCAGGTGGGAGTCAGGCCACTGCCATCAGCATTGTCACTTTGGGGCCTGCTTGGGAACCTAAAATGTTCCTAAGTAGACTTTACATGGTGTATATCATTTAAAATGATTATTGGAAGCCAAGCAGTGGTAGGTAGTGCACGACTTTAATCTCAGCACTGGGGAGGCAAAGGTATATAGATCTACGTGAGTTCGAGGCCAGCCTGGTCTACAAAATGAGTTTCAGAACAGTCAGGAGTGTTACTCAGAGAAACCCTGTCTTGATAAAGCAAACTAAAACCAAAACAACAACAGCAAAGAAGATTATTGGAAATGGTTTTCTAGTTGTTTATTGCTTAGACTGAAATATTGTCTTCTTTAAGGGGCTGTCCAGTCAATATTTAGATCTTGCATGCTCCAGCCTGGCAATTCATCTTCATCTCATTGCACCTCCTTGATGTCCTCTTCCTCAAACCTGTTTTAAATTTAAAAACCACTTTTAGCCTATAGGTGGTAAAAAGTAAGGCCAATGTATGTTTGGTCCAGTGTACAGTTTGATGAATGCTAGAGCCAGCAATAGGCTTGTGTTTATTTACTGATCAGGTATCATTGCCATCAGGGTACCAACAATGGCACATCCTTAATCACAAAACCTGACCTTTGGCCTTGCTCTCTCATTGGTCTTTGCTTCCTGCAGCAAATGTCTTCAGGAATCATCTCACCTGGGGTACTAAATGTCTCATTTCCTTCTCCGAACAGGGTTTGTTTCTGCCCCTGAGTG